GTATGCTGAAGAAAGCATCCCATGTGTTCAAGTTAGTTATATTTATGTCATCAGTTACACAAGGAAGCAATTCACATCATCATTGTACATTGCAACATTCTTATCTATACAAAAAATATAAAATGCATTCAACAATATTCCATGTATTTTATTAAAACTTAGAAAGGGCATAATGACATTGTGAATAATAAACCCTGCTTAGGACTGGGATCATCATCATCATACCAATCACCATTACAAGTAGAGTCAATTTTATATTAATGCTTAACAAGTTAACTAAATTGGCATAATCAAGTTTTTATATGAAATACACATCAAGTATTTAATGTAACAAATAAATTAACAGAAAAATTTCTGGAAAAGTTTAAAAAAATTAGAACATATGACTCTGATCAAAAATTATTCGCGTTGACACTGCATTTGTATGGGCATAAGGCATATGATTATCTTTGGACAAATGGCTTACATCTTCCTCACACTAGGACATTAAGAAAGTAATCTTGTCATACCTGTTCAATAATTTTAATAAGATTGTTTTAAATAACTATTCTCAATGTCATTTTATTAACACTACATTAAAAGGTGGCTACAAAACATTAATGGTATGCCTGGGGAGATTTCTACAAACCTTATTGACTAATGGTGATGGGGATCCTCTGGAACTGTAGGATCATGACATTCAATCCAGTCATGGATTGAGAAATCAATCCTTGATATATTTGATAACAAACATTTATTATAATATAAGAATGAAAAAAAGATGTAGGTGTAAGGCAAAATCTTACTGGAACTATTATTTTTAGCAATTTATGATTTATTTTTTTATTTATGACTTTATCCATTTTCAATGATACCGATATTTTTAATTATTATTATCCAAATTATACTCATGCCTATATAAATTAATTTGATTGTGGCTATTTCTATGCTTAATTATTTTATTTACTTGCCATAGGTATACACAGTATTTAATAAATTAATGATAATAATTAATAACACAACATTCTAAGTGCAACAACAACAACATTAGATGACATTTTCCCCGAGATCGGGGGTTGCCGTTTGGCTACAGATGATGAAACCGAAATGCCCCTCGATGCCATCCACATCTGTCACTCGCCTCAGTATATATAAAATAAAATAAATTAAAAGTACAATTTTTACAAACCTCATTGGTTATGGTGATGGGGATTCTTTAAAACTAAATGATCATGATCTAACAAGTCATGGATTGATGAATCACTGGAATCACACATTATCTTTAATAAATTTAATAACAACATGTACCACAATTTAAGAATGGGGAATATTTTGTAAAACATTAAATGAAAAAAATTTAGTTTGAATCACTCATAATGAATAAATTTTAAATTAAATTGCAAGTTAGCTTGGGGAGTTTGAAGCTTGAATTGAACAAATTACAAAATTGTTTATTTTATAAAATTGATTGATAAGTTGTTTAATATATTTATTTAATTTAGTATATTTTTTATTCCCAAACCTAAGCATTGTAAATAAAAATTTTAAAACCAATCAAGCAATAGAATTTAGGATCTTAGGAACAAGTGCTGTTAGTCGTTAGTGTAGTAGTTGGTAGTTTCTAGTAGTTTAATCTGTTAATGTTCGTTAGTGTTATCTGTTATTTATTTCAATTAGTAATTAGAATCAGTAGAGTTTAGTTTCAGTTTAATTATTAGAGTTTAGTAATTTAATTACTAATTAGTCGTCGTTTAGTGTTGTTACAGTTAATTAATGAGTTAATTAAGTGTTGTTGGTGGTTCACAAAAAATTTTTTTTATTTAAAATACAAAAAGATACTTAACCGTCATACAGCAATATCTATCCAAAACAGCATCTAGTATCACCTTTTAAAACATTTTGAAATTTTAAATAAAAGCAATATTCCGAAATTAGTAAATATACGATCGTAACTTTTGACTTGGACGATAAAAAATCACCCTCCAATTTCCCTCCGGAAGTAAGCTCCTTGTTCGACCGTCAAAAATGAGCGAAGGCCGTTATATTTATTCTAATTATATGGACTTGCCATATCCATCATATATATCCTGTTTATTAAAATTAATTTTTCTTCGACGTTTTTCGTTCTATGGATCAAGATTTTTAGCAAAAATTTATTTTAACCGATGTATGAATATTAGGGATGCACCGGATTTAAGTTTTCCAAATTCGGCCGGGGCCGGACTTAGTCGGATTTGGCCTGATTTTAGTTACCATTTTACATCCGTTAAAAAATACTCACATTTACGGTTATCTACATGTTGAACATCAAAAAATAACACCAAGTAAATAGTTAATTAATTCAAATATATAAATAAGTTGTCTAATATGCCAAATTCTATACACAAGATTAGCTTATTATTTATGCATAACCCGTGTTATAGCATAAAGAAAATTGTCCAGCTCATCTTACAATTAGTGATGTTTTAATTATGTGTCATGTATGCCTAGCCTAACCTTTAACATACCACGTTCTTAAATTATGCGCTTATGTATATATATATATATATATGTCTATATATATATATATTATGTAGCTATATGATTCAATATATACAATTATATAGTATATACACGTGCACAAGTTCTTTTACACAAAGATCAGCTCATAATTTATGCATAACCCATGTTATAGCATAAAGAAAATTGTTTAGCTCACCTCACAATTAGTGATGTTGTTATTATGCGTCATATAGCCTATGCTTAGCCTTTAACTTATTGACATAAAATTAATTGAATTCAATAAAAAATTTTTCTATTTATAACATTTTTAAATGTTGTAGATCCGGATTCGGCCGGATTTGAAAAATTGCCGGATTTTGGCCGGGGCCGAATTTCGGTGCATCCCTAATGAATATATATATATATATATATACATACTTATATGTATATGAGATTTTCCATATCCATTATATATATCGATAATGTAAATCAGTAGATATAATATATTTTTAACTGAATAACAATTCAAACTTAACGGCCTGAAATTGTTTTTATAATTTAAATGGGTTTTAAACTTTTATAAAATTAAAAAAATCGTTTTAAACCTTTCAAAATACGAAAAATTATAAAAAAAACACGAGTATTCGCTGACAAAGACAGCCATTTATTTACAAATGCAATGCAGTTAAGTCCTAAAAAAGTGACTAAACTCACCCATTATAAAACAACGTTTTTTTCTTTTTATATATAGCTCAATGGTAAAAATTATTGCTCCATTTTAATTTTCTAACAAAGACAATTACAGTTCTACTACCTAAAAAATAAGTAGTATACCGCAGGCGTTTGCAATTGTTGGATGCCCTTTTTGGTTCAGAGAGGATCGCAAGATGTTTGTTAAATATATCAGGAAGCGCTGTTGAACATTGCTTTTATAAACTATTTGATTGACGGATTGCTTGATTGATTAGTTGATTGATTGATTGATTGATTGATTGACTGACTGACTGACTGAATGATTGATTGATTGATTGATTCATTCATTCATTAATTGATTGATTCATTCATTTATTCATTGATTGGTTCATTGATTTATTGATTGATTTATTGATTCATTGATTGATTGATTCATTGATTCATTGATTCATTCATTCATTCATTCATTGATCGATCGATCGATTGATGTGACGCCCCTGCCTTGTTTCCATTATCTAATACAGTCTGCAAATTAAAAAAAAAAATAAAATTTTATTTCAACATCAGATAAACTAAACATTAAATAAACATGGATTTTATTTTACTCTCTAATTGTTTCATAAAAATCCGTGTTGCCACGACTGGCCACAACTCAAATTTTTATGCAACTTCCAAAGCAAGCTGATAAGCCATGAACGGTAATTAGCACCATTCAAAATGGTTTTGTAAATGTTGTTGGTTGAAATAGGTTCTGTGACTTCAAATTAACTTGGTGAAGAAAATATGACTGTCGATCCTCAAAAAGTTTTCTTCATAGTCAATGATGCTGGTCAACCGACGCCAGTTCAGTTTTTGAAAAATGGCATCCCTACTTTAATTAGTGTATCAAATCCAATTGTTTCTCGACTTCATCAAGGCCGAATATCTGGTGAAGGAGTCCAATTTTATAACGAAAACGGAGAAATTGACTGTGGTGTTCAAGTAGATACATATATCTTTTTTGCAGATGAAGATAACAAGGTTCGATCTTTTCTTTTTTCCAGTGTTTATATGTTAATAATTATGTTTTGTTGAAGATATGTTATAGTTATGTTATGTTGTGTTAATTGTTGTGTTATTGAATATATTATATATATATATATATATATATATATATATATAGTTGTGTTATGTTCAATATAGTTAATATATCTTTTAGTGTTTGTCCTTTTGATTTTTTTTGTGTTGAATGTTGGCTGACTTTATTTTTTTTTTTGTTTTATCATTTTACAAAATGCTAAATATTAAAAGCTCAAAGGCTGCACATTGAAGACAACATGCCAATAACATTTTTCAGTGCATGTGGATCTCTATATGATATATATATTATATATATATATATATATATATATATATACTAGCTACATTTTTATTATATATACAATTAAAAAGTCAATTGGTGTTGTTAACCATAGTGATAGATAGATAAAGCAATGATATGCAGTCACTTATACAATTACATAGTTGTTTGTTTATTTTTTATCATTTTAAATGTCAATTCTTTTTCTCCAAAATTTCATATTTGCAATTAAAAGTTTTCAAAAATCTCAAAGTTATGCAGACATTATGACGAACCTGTGGTGCATCTGCTAACAGTGGCACATTGTGTGATCACAAGTAGGTCACTGAGTCATAAAGCAAATGATATAACAATAGAAGCAAGCTTATTGATGACTATAATAATAAAATTTAAAAACATTAAAAATTCATTTGATACTTCTAAAAATCAATAAAACATACAAATAATTTTTAAAGTTGCTTTTAACTTATCATATTCCAAATTGGTTGAATTTGATGGGACCAAGGATATAGCATTTATTGTTAGAGATGCCCCTAATTTTATTTTTTGTGAAATAAAATTGATAAAAATAAACAAAAAGGTGGGATATGACATTGTACTACTGTGTAGTAACTCTTCTGTTTAAAAATTTTTATTTTCTTTCGCAGAATATTTTAAAGTATGATTGTTCCATGTGTATGCTACGTTTTTGTATAAGAGTATTTACAAAAATTGCTAAATAGACATTTTGACAAAAGGACATTTGGCCAAAAGGGCATTTTGTCAAAGAGATATTTTGCCAAATGACATTTTGCCGAAAAGACATTTTTCCAATGGAAATTTAGAACGTTTTATATGGGGTTGTGATTAGGTCATGGTGTTTCACGTTATCTTATCGGGTTCGAAAGCATGCTACGCCATATGATGGATGTTATGCACCTTGCATGAATAATGCGATGATAACGAGTGTGCAGGCCGCCTGGAAAGCTGTTAATTATTTTCAATCAATCAATTAATATTTATATAGTGCCACTTCCGTGTTGTTCAATGGCACGATTCAAACGACGTGCACAAGTGCACGCTAATCACTGCATTATATACACATATATAATAACTTTGACATATGGCTTGGTTTTGAATCTGATTGCGCAAACATCACTGACCAGCACTCTAACTACTACGCCATAGCTGCGTTCAAATTGCATAACATCATATTATACTGCATAATAAAGGAAAACTAGTTTACAGTTTTCAATATTTCAAGCATATTTAACTATCTAAATTGAGACTTCAACAATGCTATGCCACAAGCGTATTGATATTATATTTTCAAGTCAAAATATTTTTTTAAACCAAAATCATAATATAATAATAAGAGACCTAATTAGAAAATATTATTCTTATAAATTTTTTTTAGAATATAAATATTATTTTTCTAAAAACTCCACCACTGGGGCTGCAATCCAGGTAAAGAAGGAGGGTTGACAGGAGCTTGTAACACTGTTTTAAAAACGCTACAAACAAGATGGTAAACACAACAGCAAATAATCATACCGGCTCGGCCGTCGCCCGGGACAACAAGGACCGCATTGCAGCTTTGGGGACTAGGAGCTACATTGAAAAGTTTGTTACTGAGTCCCAAAGAGGTAAAAGGAAGATGAAATTCACAGTTGGAATTTGGAATGTGAGGTCACTGGCAAAAAAGAGCTTGAGAGGTTTAGATATGATGTGATTGGTTTGTGTGAAGTTAGATGGACAGGAAGTGGAGAATTGGAAAACGGAAAACTGTTATGGTCAGGCACAGAAACCGAGCATATTCATGTAGTTGGAATGATTCTTGGAGAGAATGCAAGAAGAGCATTAATTGAATACAATCCGGTAAATGACAGGCTGATGTATCCCAGATTTAAAGGATATCGTAGAGATATTATTGTGATAGTTGCTTATGCTCCAACAACAAATCATTTGGATGATGAAGGTGAAACGTTCAACGAACAACTGGAAAAAACATTGAAAGCATTACCGAAGAAAGATGTCAAGATCATTGTTGGGGACTTGATTTAATGGAATAACAATAGCTTGAAGACTGTTGGACTTCAACACTGGCGTTGAAAATATAGAGATCTTTTGAAGTTACAGCATTGATGTTACTAGTAACGAACGTCAAAGGTTACAACACTATTATGGATCATAAGATCAATAAATTTGTGGGCATTATCAACTTACAATGAATGTCAATACCAGCCTTAATATCGCTCTATTACAGCTTCATTTTTCCGCATTTATCGTACTGTAATTTTATATTCCTATTTGATTCACCGTCTTCGCGTCAAGCAAAGAGATTTTATTCAGAATATTATATATCGAATATTTTATATTTTTAATTTGTTATTTTAACTCCGCTTTAAAGCGCAGTTAAAATAACAAATTAAATTATTATTTCTACGGCGTTACCAAGAACGCCTGGTTAGTTTACAATTTTTATTTGTATTTGCATGTATAGGTTTTAAATTTATATTTTTATAGATAAACAATTTAATATAAAATTTTACCATGCTACATTAGGTAATTTTCATTTATTACGTATTCTTATAGCTCTTTCAATAATACGAATCAACTTGTTCTACGTTTTAAATATTTAGATAGCTTTGTATAATTTGGCACAAGTATTTTAAACCCGTGTATTAATTAATTTTTATACAAAATGTGTTTTCATTTCTTTGTGAAATCACTCGCTTACAGGTCCGACCAATACCTCCAGGATCTATTTTGCAAGGTAATTTTAAACCATCAACATCAGTAGATGAACATGAGAGTTCTTCATGTACTAATCATAATGAGGTTTGTTTTATAACTTAGATATTTTCAATTGAGTTGAATTGAGTCAATTGAATTGAGTCAATTGAGTAAAAAGAAAATTATATATATTTCCATTAATTTAGTTAACAAATGTTTTTTTATCAGAAAATTGAATACAACAATAACATGATGTATTGTAATGAAGAATCAATGGACACTTACGGAGGTTTGATAAACATATAGTATCAATATATATATATATATATATATATATATATATATATTTTTACAATATTCTATAAATTCTACCAAATGTTTGGCGTTAATATGTTTGTAGTTCGTTTTTTCGATTTTTCTCACTAAAGTTTTTTGGTGAACGTTTAGTTTATTAAAATTCAAAATAAACTTATTTTTCGAATTCATGCTGCAAATAAGGCCATATTTCGATTCCGAATGAATCATCATCAGTGCTCCTTGCTGTATATATAGGGAAATATTGACTTTGTCAAGATGAACTTTGACGTTGTAAATATTAACTTTGGTGTTGTAAAATTGAACTTTGATGCGAATTAGGTGTCAGGTTTCTTAATTGACTGGTCATCTTCTTTAGTCTCCTTATCTTCATCGATAGCATCATATTCTTCTTTGTCACTATTTACGATGCTAGTTTTTATTACTTCTTTGTTTTCGTTGTTGGTTAAGCGCCGGGTTGGAAGTGAGGTTGTCATTTTTTGTTGTATATTTATTTTTGGTTTATTGATGTCAATTAGGACTGCTTCTGCAATTTTAAGATGCGTGTAGTTGCTGTTCTGGTATATTACTTTGGTGTTGCTGTCGAGGATTTCACGGCTAATTGTGATTGAGTGTGTTGAGTCCAAATGAGATTTGATAGTGCTATCTCTGTTTATGCATGTAAGCCTTCTAGTCAGTGAGGTAGTAGTAATCTCGATATATGAGTCATGTTGACGTGCACAGCCGTCAAAGGGGCAATTAAATTCATATATTACGTGATTACTCTTTAACTCAGAGTTATCTCTAGGACTGCAGTTGTTTTTCAGTATTAGGTGAGACGTCTTTTATTGTTGTAATAAATTCGGAGTTTAACTTTACTATTTGGGTTGGTTGGTGTGACATTTTTATTGATGATATGTTTAAGAATAGCTTCATCTACCTTGTATGCTGTTGACATGTGATTTCTGTAATACAAGATGATGTCGTTATCTTGATTGTTGGTACTAGGAAGGTTATTGCTGTGTAGTAATTTGCCTTTAACAATCTTTTCAATAGAGTAAGTCTTACATCCATTGTTTACAAGCAGGTTAGTAACTCTCTTTAATTCAGCGTCGCGATTTTCAATATCGGAAGAGTGTGTGTGTGAATGCCCGGTTCACAAATGATTTTATTGTGCTGTCTTTAAATTGTTCAGTGCATTCACTTTGTTGTTCGTGTAATAAATCCTAAGTTTTAATTTATCATTTTCATTGATAATTTTTACGTTACCGTTTACAATCCTTTTTATTATTATCTCATCAGTCTTATAAGCTGTTGACATCGTATTTTTGTAAAAAAGTATTGTCATTTGTTGTTTTCACTCTTTCCATTTAAACAAAATCCTCTATTACTTGTTTTAATATAAACGGATGTTTTGAATTTGTTGTTGATATTGTGTATTAGGTATCTAGGAAAGATAGTTTGTTGTTTATGAATTTTTCCATAGTAAAATTTAATTTATATCTATTAAAAGTGGTTATTAATTTTTCTATGGTATCTGGGTTGTTGTATGTCACAAATATATCATCGACATATTGGCAATTAATTTCTGGTTTAAGTTGTGTTGTGTTTTTGAAGGTGGATTCTTCTAAATGTTCCATGTAGAAATTAGAAAAGAGGACTCCAACAGTTTGTTTGTAAAGTTGGTTGTCGGGAATATGAAATGGGGCTTCCATAGTACATATTTCAAGAAGTTTTTTAAGATGGTCTTTAGGGATATCCAGTGGGGTGATATCGTAACCATACACTTTATCAAGAATGACATTAATGGTATCTATTACAGGTACATTGGTGAACAGGGATTGTAGTACCATTTGTCGGATTGAATAGTGACAAGATATCAATAAATTCTTTACTAGACTTTAGATTATAAGTATTGGGTGTGTATGGAGTTAATAGTCTGTTAAGAAGTTTAGCTATTGAATAGGTTACAGTAGAAATTTGAATGATTATTGGTCTGATTGGATTGTCATTTTTGTGTGTTACGATGTTACCAAGTTCCGGTATTTTGTCTTTTATAATTTTATTTAATTGTTTAATTATGGCGTCAAGTTTGGTTTTTAAAACGGGTGTGGGGTCGGTTTTAATTCTCTTATATTTTGTATCATCGGCTAAAATGAAGTTGATTTTGTTGTTGTATTCTATTTTGTATAAAATGACATACATAGATGTGTGTGTGTGTGTGTTATGTTCCGTAATTAGTGTATGTGTGTGTGTAAACTGTAAAAAATGATATAATAAAATGATTTTTCATTGAATGGCGTTATTACGAAATCAATTAAACAGAAGATTCCCAAGTTGATCATTATACATCTCATGCGGATATTGAGCTGGAAGAAGAAATTGTTAGCAATTCTGATATCATTAAATCACAAAATCAAGAGTTCATCAAAAGTGGAAATTCTGCAATAAACAATCTAACTATTAATGATGACACTGTTGCTATAATTAACAGCAAAAATGTTTCTGGAAAAACTAAGAAAAAGAAAAAGCCTAAATATTCATCTGTTCCTGAATTAGGTTAGTTTGACAATTCAAATATCTTAATGAACTGGCAAACTGAAATTCTGAAATTTGAAAAATCTAAAAAAATTAAAATACAGATCTGACAATTGTTCAAACAGTATAAATACACAATTATGTATGTAAAAATGTTGAAAAAACAATTAATCTGTCTGAAACATATAATTAGAATATCTATACTGGCCCGCAAATGTGCACGCACACATTTTCAGTGCCTGGTGTCATTTCATACAATTTTTATAGTAGTTTATAAATAATTTTTATTCATTTTTTAGATAT